ATGCTCACGCCGGTGATGATGAGATCATCCACGTACACTCCGACGAGCAGCAGTGAACTTCCCGTGCCCCTCCTGTACACGGCATGTTCAGACGGACAACGCTCGAAGCCAAGTGTGATCAGGCTGTCATCCAGCTTCGCGTTCCACGCCCTCGGGGCTTGGCGTAGGCCATACAGAGCCTTGCGGAGGCGCAGCACCTTGCCTTCTTCTCCGGACTGCATGTATCCCGGCGGCTGCTGCACATATACCTCCTCGAGCAGGTCACCGTTCAAGAACGCTGACTTTACATCCATGTGGTGCACCTGCCAGTCATGGTGCGCGGCGAGGGCGATCAGCAAGCGCACCGAGTCCATCCGTGCGACTGGCGCGAACACTTCTTCATAGTCAATCCCTTGCCGCTGCACATAACCCTTTGCAACTAACCTCGCCTTGTGCTTGACCACGGCTCCCTGGGCATCTTTCTTCAGTTTATACACCCACTTCAGACCAATGGCACGGTGCCCAGGCGGGAGCTGGCACAACTTCCAGGTTCGGTTGTCGACGATGCTCCGCATCTCCTCTTCCATGGCGTCGCACCAGCCCTTCACTGCTTTCGCCTCGTTGAACGACGTTGGTTCCTCTGCAGCTAGCAGACACAAGTGCTGCTCCTCTTCCTCGGTGAGTAGGACATAGTCAGCCAGCTGCGTGTTCGGCTGCACGATGCCTTCCTTGGCACGAGTGCGCATTGGGTGCACGTTGATTTGTGCCGCTTGTCCATCACTCGTCTTCCCGTCCTGCTCAGTGGACTTGGGTGTCGTTGGAGGCTGCATTCTCGGTGGCGTGGGCGTTGCAGCAGGCGTGCCGGGTGACGCAGGCGGCATCGGTGTCGTAGGCACCGCGTCGAACGTGTCCATGGTGACTGCGGGCCAGTACGCCTCCTCGATGACGAATGAACCCTGAGCTGGTGCTGGATCCTCCGTCCCCTCGGGCTTGCTCCAGTCCCAAGCGGCTTGCTCATCGAAGACGATGTCCCTGGAGACGTGCACCTTCCCCGTCGCCGGATGGTACACCCGGTACGCCGCAGTGCCGGGTTCATATCCAAACAGCACCATCGGCTGGCTCCTGTCATCCAGTTTCCTTGCATTTGGGCGCGTCGTCTTGACATGGGCGATGCACCCAAACGCCCGAAGGTGATGGACGGCAGGCCGCTTGCCGCACCACGCTTCGTACGGCGTCATTTTTGCCACGCTCTTGGTCGTGGAGCGGTTGAGCAGGTACACTGCAGGTACACTGCCGTGGTGAGTGCCTCGCCCCAAAAATGCCCAGGGACGCCCTTTGCCTTCAGAAGAGTGCGCGCCATGCCGACGACGGTCTGATTCCGCCGCTCGACCACGCCGTTTTGCTGAGGCGAATAGGGAGCCGTAAGCTGTCTCTTCACCCCCTGATCGGCGAAGTATTTCCCGAGGCTGGAGGAGGTGAACTCGCCTCCGCGATCCGTGCGCAGTGCCTTCAGACGGTGCCCTGACTCGAGCTCTGTGGCCGCCTGGAACTGCTTCAGCACTGCCTCTGCCTCGTCCTTGGTCGCAAGGAGCCGCAGCCACATGTACCTGCTTTTGTCATCCACCAGCAGCAGGAAGTAGCGTTTTCCCCCCGGCGTAGGGGGAGAGATTGGGCCGCAGATGTCCGCGTGCACCAGCTCAAGCACCGTCTCCGCACGGTTCAGTGCCTGGTGCGGGAACGACGCGCGTCGCTGCTTGCCGGCGAGGCACGCCTCGCAGACACGGTCCGCCTCGTCGATCGGAGGCAGGCCACGCACCATTTCCTCGCGGGCGAGGTGTCGCAGAGCCTGGAAGCCGATGTGGCCGTACCGCGCGTGCCAGCGCCACGCGTCCTCGCCGCCGTGCACCGCCAGACACATGGGGCGCGCCAGGTTCAGGCGTAAAACGTACAAACGCCCCTGTGTGCGCGGAGCTCGCGCGATCAGCCGCCCGTCCGGGTCTCGCAGCTCCAGGATGCCGTGGGTGATGCGGGTGTCGTAGTCGTTCTCGTCTAGTTGGCCGATGCTGATGATGTTGCTCTGCAGCCTAGGGATGAAGTAGACCTCTGACAGAACGAGGTGCTCACCCGTGCGGCTCTCGAAGAGGATCGTTCCCCTGCCCTTGATTTGCACCGCCGAGCCGTCGCCTAGCTTGACCGAGCCGTGCACGCCGGTGTCGAGGTCGGAGAAGATGTCCCTGCGACCGGACATATGGTTGCTAGCTCCCGTGTCCAGGAACCAGGACGTGTCGCACCCCTCCCCTTCTGCAGCGATGCGTGCCTGGGAGCGCTCCTCGCTCAGCAGGACATGCTCGTTGGTGCCCTCCGTGATGGAGAGCGCGCAGATACTGGCGAGGAAGAGCGTAGACTCCTTCGGCTCCTCCTCCGTTTGCACCAGGTTGGCACGTTCCTTGCGCTCACGGCGAGGCTCGGGACAGTCCCTGGAGAAGTGATTCGCGTACTTGTTACAGTTGTAACATTTTACCTTGGACATGTCGCGACCACCCCCGGACTGCTGCTTGTTCTGCCCGCCGCCGTGCCTGGTGCCCTGCTGTAGCTTGCCCTTGTACTTGCCGCCACCGGAGTTGGAGCCCTGCCCCCTTTCCTTGTTCTTGGCGCGCGCGAGCCACTCCTTCTCCGTGAGAAGAAGCTCGCCGCCGTGGTTCTGGGTGGTGATGGAGCAGCGCTCTGTGGCCGATCGGAGTCGCCCGATCAGCTCCTCCACTGACATGCCGTTGAGGTCGAGCAGCGTCTCGATGGAGCACGCGATCTGGGCGTACTGCGCAGGCACCTCGCGCAAGAACTTCTGCACCACCTTGGTCTCCTCCACCATGTCGCCAAGTGATCGGAGATTGTTGACGATGCCCGTGATCCGCATGCCGAACGAGTCGAGCGACTCACCCTCCTTGAAGGCGATCTGCTCGAACTCTTTGCGCAGTCGCTGCGCCGTCGCCTCCCGCACGCGGTTCACGCCCACGCGCATCATGCGGATCGCCTCCCACGCCTCGTGCGCGGTGTCCTTGACGGCGAGCACCGGCGTCATCTCAGGCGGTGCCGCCCGGATCAGCGCCGAGAGTGCCGCCATGTCCTCTCGATCGCCCGGCTCGCCCATGCCGGACACGGCCTCCCAGAGACCCTGCGCCCGCAGGTTGATTTTCATAACGAGGGCCCACTCGATGTAGTTCGTCGCCGTCAGCGTGGGGTAGACGATGTTGCTGCCGTAGTTCGAGCGATCCTGCACCACGCGCTCGTGCACGATGACCTCGTTGCCGCCGCGCCTGACGACGCTGCGGCCACGGCTCCGTTCGCGTGGCCGCGCCGCCGCCCCGTCCGTGTCGCCTGCAGTACCGCGTCCTCCGCCCGGTCCGTCGGGTGGCGTCGACGGCGTGCGTGCGCCGCCGTTGGACATGGTCGCCCTGGATCGAAGGAGGCTCTGGTGCCAATTGTCAGGAATCCCTCTTCTCTCTCGCTCTCACTCTGACAGAGATGAACACTGGAGTTTTTGCGTCGCGTGAATCGTTGCGACTTTTCTGTCTATCTCATTCCTTCTTATTCTGTTACAGAAAGGGAAAACGGTGGCCGGTAGAGATCCTACCTCGGCGCCACGATCTGGCTCACGCTCGCGCCATCCCACGAGCACCAAGACCGGGTCCTAGCCCTACATGCACGGCACGCACAGGCACGGCTTGTGCCTACTGAACTTTGCTGAAAACAAGGGAAATAAAGCTTCTAAACTACTGCTACCAACGACTAGATTAAGTTGTCAACAGTATTCATAAAAGAAATCAGTGTTTTTGTCTTTCCTGCTATTCATGATACCCAAAGTTGTCATCATATCACCCTTTGCAATCCGTGGCCTCTTGTTCCTAGAACATAAATTATAAACATCATTGGGTATGAAGCCAACATTGCCATACCAACCAGCCCTACATGTGAAAGATTTCATAACGAGATGCTTCCACATGCCAACTGCTCCCAATGCAAAGATTTCGGCTTTCTGAAATTCCTTTATTCTTCTGTGAGACCGCATGGAAGGAACCTCATCTGGCTAGCTAAAACATGACAGTGTTCATCCACAAAAGTTATCAAAATACCGAACTCCACGAACTCTGTCAAGTTTGACGGTAGGTTGCGCCTTACATCTGCAACGACTTTCAGGTCGTAGTTTCCGAGTGCGGCCCTCCATAGTGAGGAATTGTTCTTGCTGTTTCCCTGCTCTAGAGCACACAAAACGCCTAAACCGCATTGTTCGTGAAAGCTTAACCTTCTCCTTTCTAACACTGAAACCATGGCCCTTCGCATATTTGTTGTAGAACATGTATGCCTCTAGTTCACTTCCAGAAGTCATATACTCATATTCACTATCTTCGGTTACTATCCAAATTGTTGTTCACATCATGAGCTATCAAAATTTGTGTATGGATCCTCAAAATCATCACAGTCAGCTTCACCAAAATCTATTAAAAATGAAAACAAAGGAAACATACTTGTTACACCGTTCCTTGCTTCAGAAGTAATAACGAACGTACATTACTTACATTTGAACCATTGATGTGGATGGATAGTACCCTTTTTAAAGTTTTAAGGGGGTGTATCGAAGCACCTCTCATTAATATATTGATCCCATATTCAATATTAGTATCATAAATAATGATGCTAAAGCTGCACAAGGGAGACTGGCAAAATCAGAAACGACGTGTAGAACAATATGTATGAAGTCTAGCCGCACAAATGTGCGAGTTCCCTTGCTAGTTAACATTAATTTCTCTGCCATGTAAAAATTGTATATTGTTAATAATCAATATACAGCCAAGTACCTTCTCTCAAATGCCTTGACACAATCATGGCACATAAACATCTTACAATCCTTAATATGTAATTACATGCCCCTACCTTGTTCCTTCAGGCTTAGTTGTTTGCATATAAATAGACCAGCCAACGTAGCTACATTCAACACAAAACCACAGAAAAACAAGCTAAAAAAAATGTCTCCCACCCATGACAAGCATAGCTCCCAGGGGCTGCTCCAGGCTCAAGTTGATCTTTGGCACCACGCATTGGGATTTGTCAAGTCCGTGGCACTCAGATGTGCAACAGAACTGCGAATCCCTGACATCATCCAACACCATGGTGGTTCTATGACCCCTTCAGAGTTGGCCTCAAAGATCGGGCTCCATCCGTCTAGGCTTCCCCACTTACGGCGACTCATGCGTGTGCTCACCGTGTCAGGCATCTTTCTTGTTCCTGAAGTAGCCTCACCAGACAATGAGGTTTCTTACGGGCTTACTCCAACCGCATGCCTACTTGCCAGCTGCGATGAAGTTAGATCAAACTTATCTCCCTTTCTATCTTTGTTACTTGATTCAACTTTCGCTGCACCCTTTTTTGGCATGCACTCATGGTTCCTGGATGAGCATTCCACGTCCATGTTCAAGAAGGCTCACGGCCTTAACTTTTGGGAGATGGCTGAGCAGGACGATACTTACAACCAGCTAATCAACGACGTGATGGTTTCTGATAGTAACTTTCTCATGGATATCATCTTGAGGGAGTATGCTGGTGTATTTCTCTGCATAAACTCACTTATTGATGTCGCCGGAGGACACGGCGGATCTGCCAGGGCAATTGCTAAGGCGTTTCCACAAATGAAGTGCACCGTGTTGGATCACCCTCATGTGGTTGAAGAAGCTCCTACCAGTGACCATGTGTCATTTATTTCTGGCGATATGTTTAAGTACATTCCACCAGCGGATGCTCTCTTCCTGAAGGTACACACTTCAGATTTTTCTTATTCCCTTCCCACATATACCCAGTTTACAAAAGGATGCCATAAAGTGTGTATTTAGCCGCTTGTAGGTACAAATTAAACAAATAAAGTAAGCTAATTAACTTTTTATGGAAAAACTCAACAATTTTCAATATTACAGGGGCTAATCATAACATTTTTTGCTGATGTACATCTTAGTGGGTTTTCCATGATTGGGGTGATGAAGATTGTGTCAAGATACTGAAAAATTGCAAGGAAGCTATACCTCCCAGAGAAGCTGGTGGAAAGGTGATAATCGTAGATATGGTGGTTGGATCTGGGCCAAATATGAGAATGTAACAAGAGAGACGCAGGTTTTGATCTCTTTATTATGTGTATTGAGGGGATTGAGCGAGAGGAACATGAGTGGAAAAAGATATTCATGGAAGCTGGGTTCAGCGACTACAAAATTATATCAGTGCTGGGAGTTAGATCTGTTATTGAGCTCTACCCTTGAACACTCCCATGAAAATTACGTGGTAATCGGTGTTGTATTTTAATAAACTGGCATGGCACGTGTGCTTTCTGGTTGCATGCCTTTGGCCTAGTGTGGTGAATAGTGTACGTATTTTTGTGATGTGAGACCACTGTGATGAATGAATTTGTTCCAGTGGTGTTTATGTATAGACCACTGTGAGGATTGAGATAACAAATGCTGATATTAAGATGCTAATATGCTATGTCCATGTTTTTCAGCGCCAGTACCTTCGTGAATCAGCGTATGCATGCGTAAGTTGTTTACAGCTTTAGATTACTGCGTATTATGCACGCTTGACAGTCCCGTGTGACCCCACGTACTTCCTTCCATGGATGATCACTCATGCGACTATGATTGAGCTGAAATATGAATCTGCCATACATGCATTAGTAAACTGCACCCCCTATGCTGTTGTGTTCAAATTGTTGTTATCAATTATTCAGGTGATTCATTCCTGAGTTTCAGTTTAAATGGGACCAAATGCACAGCCATTTTTTCCGTTGCTCTCTGCCTCACACATACATGACTCTTTTGGAAGTAGATACACGTAGACTGTTTTGTGAAGTGCCACATTGTGACCATCCTTGAGTTCTGACTTCTGAAGAGTACTTGCACTAAGTTGGATATACTTCTGTTAAGCTGGATATATTTTTGTGTCGACAAGATTTGGCATTCGCGCCGGTCTCCGGGATCAGTGGAGATAAAGACTAGCATATCTGTGTCCCCAAAACACTTGCTCCTGGACATAATTCTGATCTTGTGCTGGAGATCATAAGAACCAAGGGACTAGCAGTGTCAGCGTTGCTTCTTCAGCTGCTCGGAAACCCTATTCATCCGCAAGTCGTCCTCTGGAGGACGATGAGAGGACCGAAACACTTTTTTTCCCTTTCTCCAAATGTTGCCACCCAAGACCCAACTGAATTGTTTTACCCAGGAAGGAAAACCGTTAGTTCATACGAACCATTTCGTTTTCTACCACTTATCATAGATGGGTATTGTTCCTATTGCCACCCAAGTACCCAACTGAATTCTTTGTATGATTTTTTCCTGATTTTTTCTTAATGCCGGATAAATTTTGCATTCTAGTTTTTCATTCTCAACAAGAAACGGCATGAGTAAATTGTTTTTCTCTGTTATTGCACAAGGAATAATATACTCATATTTCATCAACTTTCTTGTGATTCGGTGTATTTCCTTGTTATTGGACAAGATTTGCTAGTCGAGGATAACGCTGTTCGCAGATTGTGCTGCAGCATCACCTTATTGGAATCATGTTTCTAACAGTTGGTGAACTGTTTGATTCTTCCTATTGCAAGACCAGATTTGCTGGTTGAGGATAGAGCTGCCGCGACAATTTATTATATTTTGTAACGACCTTTCTTATTTTTTTAAAAAATTCTCTTCTTTTTTTCACTTTTCTATTTCAGTTTTGTTTTCTTTCTTGCTTAATTTTCTTCCATTTTTCTTTCCTACAACTTTTTTATCTCCTTCTTTTATGATGTTGCTTTAAAAACTTATCCTATTTCTTCCTTTTAGCCTTCATGTGCTTTAATTCATGATCTTTTGATGCTATTTACAAATTTATTTGGTAATAGTATGTTTTCACGGGTATATGCAAATTTTCTGCTTGTAATACTTTTGTACAAAATAAAATAAATAACAATAAAGTATATTATCTTAGTTTTTTAAATACAAACTATCTTCAGCGAGTTGCGTGAACATTTTAGTAAATGCATAAAGACCATTTCATGGATCGTGGAATGAGTTTACAAATATGTTCCGCAAGTCACCTAAACTTTGTATTTACATTTGTGAGAATTTTCATATTGACAGTCAAATATGTTCTAAGATAAAAAAAATTGACATGAAACATTTGCAACCTGTATTGTTTTTAAAGCTGCATGGACATTTTATTTGACACATATAAATATTTGAACTAAACATGCACACATATTTATTGCATAGATTGTTGAGCATATTCCAATAAAATGTCTTTCTCGCAAAAAATATATTCTGGAATATAGATTCAACTTTTATCATTAATCAAGGATCTACACATTATATTTATATCTTGTACCTTGAGATTTTGAGAATACAAATTCAAAACCGTGAGTTCTTGTAGTCGTCGTTAGATAGTCCATGGACCTAGTTGTGTTTTTTTAAACCGGTTGTAATTTTTATTAGTTCTGTTGTTCTTTGTACTGCCATGACATATGATGAATATATATGTTTTTAGAATTTATGATGAATAGATTTAAAGTTTCTCCCAAAAAGAAAAGAAAAAGTATAGGCCGTTCCATGCTTTCAATGCCACTGGCCCACCGCCACCCGCTATCGGGCTTCCCCACAACAAATTTCATGGCCCCGGCTCCGGTCACACGTGGGATAGAGCCCACCATTGTGCCATTCGCCACTGCTCGCAACGAAGGGCGGCGGCGGCTACCTCGCGCCGGCGGTCGGGCCGCCGAGGTCTCGTCGCACCACCAGGCTAACGGGTGGACGCAAGCTGCCGAGGTCGCGGCGCGCCACCAGGCAGCGTAGCGTGACGACCCAGGGGCCGAGGCTGCTCGCGGACGCACCACCGTTCGCGCCCGTGCGTCCGCCGCGGCGGCGGAGCTGCCACCCCGTCCCGCATTTCCCAATAAGCGCTTGTTTGATCGATTGATTCCATCTTCTACTGCTCTTGACTTCAATTTGTTTGGGCGGCGCTCCTGAGTGGGCGTTTGGTCACCCTAGCCCTACTCTCTGAATGTGTTACTATTTTAGTTCACAAAGGTTCAGGCGAAATCGTTTGTTCTCTAGCTCATTCCATGGATCGAAGTTAAAACTAGCCGAATCGCCAGCCAAATATTAGCCAGATTCGGACACCTCTGTCCGTATGTCCAAGCAACACTGTCAAGTGTCAATGACACTCATTTACAAAGAACGAACTGTAAGGTCGTCCTGGACCAGTAGGCAAGAACAGCGTGACATTGCTGGTAGTGAGTGTGGGATAGAAGAATGGGAGGAGCTCTACCGGTGGTTGCAAGAAGTTGAGCTCTCGGAGGCTCGGATGTCAGTGATGAGGCTCACTGGCTCCTAACGACGAGTGGCAAGTATAGTGCGAAATCACTTTATGTGATGATCATGTACTCAGGGCCGGGGTGCGCGACTTGCGGATGCTCGATATTTGGAAATCTCATTTCCACTTGAAGCAATGCTTGGGGCTCTTGCTTGGTTGATTTGGACTTGGCGAAACGATGTTGTCTTTGAACAGCGTGTTCCCTCTTCTCCGGTGCATAACATCTCCAAATGTTCGCTCTTTCATCGCAGTGGATGCTTCTCTGTCCTGCAAACCGTAGGGAGGCCATCAGGGTGGTTATCAGTGGGGTGGCTGCTGGGTAGTGCCTGCTGTGTAGGCTGCTTCGGCAGTCTGGTTGCTGCCTCTTTGTTTAGTTTTTTCAGATCTTGTACCGTGACGTTGGTTTTCCCACTGAAACTCCTGCTTTTCTATATAAAGCATAGCATTTAGCCTTTTCTCTAAAAAAGTAGAAAGCGTGATGTCCCAGCTAGAAAATGTTCTATATTTGGGGTGTGAGAAGCGTGTCTTGACCATGTGATAAGATAGCGGGTTATATCACAAATGGAAACCATGCTTGCGGAATTGCTATATTTTCTGAAGGTGTGTAATTGGTAGCTAGTATGCCCCGATGAATAAAATTTACTGATAGGTGGTTATTTGTTCTGTTCAAGTATAGATATTTACAAAGAAAAAATATGTACAACCTTTTCATTAGGTGTGGCAAAAACATGTCTTCCACTTCCGGTCTCTAACAGAACAAATTCGAGAGTAGGGCCTGATATTTTAATTTAAAAGAAGTGGAACTCAAGTGAAATGTTTGAAAGAAAATGAGTGAAACTTAATATATGAAAAAAAAGCATTTCACAAAATATTATGCCAATAGCTAGGCAATAAACTGATAGCTACTGTTCACATTGATTTTTACCTGCCATGTAGCAATATGTATATTGCTGCTGTAAGTTTTTCTCAAATACCTTCACCAAATCCTGGGATATAAATTTCTCATCATTCTTAAATAACTTATTACCCATGGCCCTACCTTGTGCCTTAGCAACTTGCCTTAGTATGTTGATGAGTTTGTTCATATATAGACCAGCACACATGTGTACAATCCCACCCATAACCAAAGAAAGCAAGTTCAACAAAAATGTCACCCATTCAAAGCAAGAATAGCTCTCAGGATTTGCTCCAGGCTCAAGTTGACCTTTGGCACCATGCATTGGGATTTGTCAAGTCCATGGCACTAAAATGTGCAATGGAACTGCAAATCCCTAACACCATCCAACACCATGGTGGGGCTATGACACCTTCTGAGTTGGCCGCAAAGATCGGGCTCCATCCATCTAAGCTTCCCCGCTTACGACGGCTCATGCGGGTGCTCACCGTATCAGGCATCTTTGCTGTCCATGAATCCACCACGGCAGACAAGGAGGCTGTTTATGTGCTTACCCCAACCACTTGCCTCCTCGTTAGCGATGAAGTTAAATCGAATTTATTTCCCATTCTGTCTTTGATGCTTGATTCAACTGTCCTTGCCCCCTTTTTTGGCATGAACTCATGGTTCCTAGATGAGCACTCTACATCCTTGTTCAAAAAGGCTCATGGCCTTACCTTCTGGGAGATGGCTGACAAGAATGATTCTTACAACCAGTCAATCAACAATGCAATGGTTTCTGATAGTAACTTTCTCATGGATATCATCTTGAGGGAGTGTGGTGATGTATTTCTTGGTATAAACTCGCTTATTGATGTCGCTGGGGGCCATGGTGGAGCTGCCAGTGCAATTGCGAAGGCATTCCCGCAAATGAAATGCACAGTGTTGGATCTCCCTCACGTGGTTGAAGAAGCTCCTACTGATGACCATGTGTCATTTATTTCTGGCGATATGTTCAAGTACATTCCACCAGCGGATGCTCTT